GGAGGGCCGCCCGCCCCTGTGGGAGCCCATGGCCCTCTCCCATCAGCGAGGTTTGGTTCTCGGTACAGATTTGTCGTTTTTCTGTTCATGTCACCAAGTTTTCTGACGCACCTGAAGGTTTGGGAACATTGACATTTCTGATAAACCCCAACTGTATTGTTTCTTAAGGAAATGTGTAAGCGGTAAGGTGCTGGGCTTGTCGGGAGCCCTCGCACAGCTAGGGGGAACGTGGTCGTGGTCAGAGGGCTCCTGGCGTGGAGTCGGGGGAGGGAGGGAGACGGACGCCCTGGGAAAGACCCGAGTTCTCAGGATGCCCCGCAGTCATGTCCGTGGCCAGGCAGTGCAGATTGTGATCGTTTGCGTTGTAGGTTAAGAGGAGAAGGAAAGTATTCTCACGTGCTGGTTACACCGTTTGTGGAGTCCTGGATAGAACAGACAGCTGGTCCGCACAAGAAGCTGCTCCCCTGACAAGTCAGGATAGAATAGCATGTAAAGTTGGAGATCCATAGAATCCTACCCCACAGTGAAAATCAACCTTTTTCTCATTGTAAAAACGATACAATCCCATTGTGTTTAGAAATACATCCAAGCAATATTAAATATGTATATAGAAGAAAGAAAAAAATCTCAATCCCTTTAGCCACAGATAACCAACCATCACACAAAACATTATTCACATTTGGGTTAACTTCCTTCAGATATATCCTTTATGGATATGTATGCTATATTTACATTAGTATACTTATTATAAAATATGTTTGAATTTATATAATTTTGCATGATAAATTTTATAAAGTATTAGTTAAGCAGATTATGCTTTATTCAGTGTTGAATATTGGGAACGCGTTTCAGTGTAAAAGGTAGATGTGCATTGTAATTTTTAATGAACACATGGTATTTCTTGCTATGGCTGTACTGTACCATATTTTATTTAACCGGTCCCCTACCAAGGGACATTTAGATTGTTTCCACTTTCTTCATAATTGTAAAATAGCATGATAGTGACCATCTTTGTACATATACATATTTGCATTCTTGTCCAATGTGTACGCTGTGTGTAACTCCTTAGGATAAATTCCTGTAAGTTGATCATGGTTTAGAAATTATGGTACAATTTATATTCTGATTTATAATGCAAAACTGCCCCCTCGAAAGACTGTGATACACTTCAGTCATGGAGTGTAAGGGTGCTTGTTTCTCCATGCTCTGACTACCAAACCAAACCTGTTGCCGTGGAGTCCATTCTGATTCATAGCAACCCTATAGGACGGGGTAGAACTGCCCCATGTGGATTCCAAGGAGTGGCTGGTGGATTCGAACTGCGAACCTTTTGGTTAGCAGTCAGGCTCTTAACCACTGCGCCACCAGGGCTCCATGCTCTGATTAGCACTGGGTAATGAAAACTCTTAAACCAGTCTATCTAAAAGGGTATCTTGATGTTTTTCTTTGCCTTGATGAAATTAAACATCTTTTCCTATTTTTATTAGTCATTTCTTTGATAAATCATGTTTGTCTTTTCACTGTATTATTTTACTAGTGTTACGTACCTTTAGATAGCTTTCTAAGAGGAATTTGAATTTGTGACTTTAAACTTGTTACAAATCTTTCCCCCAGTTTGTTGTCTCTCCAACTTTGATAATGGTGTCTTTTGCCTTTATGGTAGGGTATTTTGTTTTAATCTGATTCTAGAAGCTACATGCTTAACCTCTCCAGAGATAGAAGACTGTTATAACTGTTAGAGAAGAGTATGTGATTGCCTCTCTCCAATGGTTAGAATCTAACTACTGACCCAGACCCCTCTCCATCTCAGTTTAAAATCCTCACCTTCCACCCTCGGAATCCTTTCAATCCCAAAGTGGGACACTGAATCACTTAAGTTGAAGAGAAGATATTGTTGGTATTTTGTTCAATATTATCTGTATTTATCTACGAAATATAAGCTGTTCTAGCTTCTATGTGAAAATTTCCCTTTAACTAAAAGAGAAAGGATTATCAGGTCTTTATGTTAAAAAGAAAGAACTGATAGTTACCTGGACCTTATTCTGTGTTTACAGTAATAAGTAATACAATCTTAGGAAGTAAAATTAGAGAAGTAATGGGGAAAAAATACAAAAACATACAAAATTATTATCTGAAAAGCTGAAGGGGCAGGACGCATTTAAAAAAAAAAAAGGCATTGCATGTGATTTAAGAGCTAATGAATTTTTAACATTTTTTTTTGTCTTTATATTTTGTTAATATAGTTTTTAAAAGTGTATATTTTGCTATCTGCAAATATCTTCGTGCATTCAAGAAGAAAATGGCAGTGTGCCCTAATTTAAATGCAAAGAAAATAACACAATCACTGTATCGTGTAGCATGTTGTTAGGTGTCATCGAGTCAGTTCTGACTCATAGTGACCCTGTGCACAACAGAACAAAATGCTGCCCAGTCCTGCACCATCCTCATAATCATGGCTGTATTTGAGCTCATCATTGCAGCCACTGGGTCAGTCCATCTCGTTGAGGGTCTTCCTCTTTTTTGCTGACCCTCTTTTTACCAGCCATCATGTCCTTCTCCAGGGAAGTCTAACCATCCTCACTTCCAAGGTACGCTCTGGCTGTACTTCTTCCAACACAGACTTGTTCATTCTTCTGACACCCATGGTATATTCAGTATTCTTCGCCAGTACCAGAATTCATAGTATAGTACCCATGCTGTGAAAAAGTCTTCTCAGCTTTAGTGTGAGAGATCCTCCTAGCCAGGACAGTTTCCTATCCCGTTTTGGCCCCCGTTTTCCTCTATTCTGTGTCCATCTGTTTTCAGTAGGTGGTTTTGTATTGCATGAACATTGAAATGAATGGTATGATACATTTTCCTTCTCACAAAGCACCGTCATATGTATTATCTTTTAAACTTCACAACCTAATAATTCCTTCCATTTTTCAAATGAAGAAAGCCCTACATTACTTTCCTCTAATATTTATTTATTCCCTACCATGGGTCAGAGACTACAAGTATTTGGCATTTTTACAAATACCTTAGATAACAAGTAATTTCACACTTAACATTTTTGGGGCTTCTCACTTGCTCCACCTATGTTGACTGTCCTGAGGTTTTCTGTAGTAACTACAAAAACCAGTGTCATGAAACCCTTACTCTTCTAATTTCTCTTGAGACTTCTTAGACCCATATGTTATTTACAAGTGTGTTGTTTAATCTCTACGTTGAGATTTCTAGCTATCTTTTCATTATTGAGTTCTATTTTAATTCTTTGTGGTGTGAGAGCATATTTTGGATGGTTTCTAGTCTTCTAAATTTGTGAAGGTGTGTTTTATGGCCCAGGATGTGGTCTGTCTTGGTGAATGAATCCTTAGAGATTTGTTAGTAACCTTCAGATGATTTTACTTAGGATCTAAGACCCTGATCCTCATTCCTTTCCTTCTACAGAATCTTCAGGCTTTTAGTTAGTGCTTTTTGTCCTATTTATCGTTTCTTTAGAGTTGATTTTTAAAAACAAGGAGCGATTTCTTAAAACTCTGTTCTTTCCTAAAGTTTTTCTTAAACTCGAATACTAATTCCAATCATGGTACATTGAAATAAGATAAAAAGTTGAAAAAAATAAAATACTTTGGTTTGCCCTTAAATGTTTAAGTGTGGATATTCTATCATGGTCAGTGATTACATTAAAAACAAAAGAATCTCTGCATCAAGTTAAAGGACAAAGCAATCCTTCTTTTAGAACACTCAGGGCATTATGAAATGTTGGCATATCAGCTCTCAAAGAACAATATAGCATGATTCAGATTCCAGAATACCGGGATTGTACAACTATTTTCCATAAATCTTAGTTTTTTTGTACCATTATTTCCGCATCTCTAAAATGGGGATATTTTCTGGTCCCTACTCTGCTAGGCTATAAAAGCTATTATAATATGCCTCCTTATGCTTCAGAACTCACTTTTCTTATGCTGTTTTACTTCTTAAACCTGGAACACTTTCAATGAAGTCTTATTTCTGCAGTGTACCTACTACTAAGCTTCTGTAGCCCTCATGCAGCATCAGTTTACTATTTATATGTGAGCTAGTATTAGTTCTTATTGTTCATATGTTAGTTGTACTTTAACTAGCAGCTTGAGGATAGAAACCATAATTGTATACCCTGGAGTTTTGAATATAGGTAGGAACAAACTATTTTAGTGGCCATTATCTGTTGCCTTACTAACAGCTTCCTACTTGGTCCCACTGCCTTCAGTCTTCCAATCCACATTATTCCAGAGCAGTATTTTCGCTACACAATTCTATTTTGCTTTTAAATTTTTTTGGTTGGTAAATAAACTTTGGATCTCATACCCATATATTATTGTAAATGCAGATAAGTAATACACTATGCAAAAATGAAAATTGTTATTGTGGCAGAAGGTCTGAGTTCATGTATTTGATGTTTATTTTTATTGCTAGAAGGGGCAGTGTATTATTTAAGAGAACTTTAAGCTCTTTTAAAGAAATATTGGTATTTATAAGTATTATTTTGAGGGTTACTTACCAACTTTGCTTTGAGAACAAGCAAACCAAAAACCAAACCCACTGCCATCGTGACTTACTGCAACCCTATAGGGCAGAGTAGAGCTCCCCATAGGGTTTCCAAGGCTGTAAATCTTTAAGGAACAGACTGCTACATCTTTCTCCCATGGTGCAGCGGCCAGGTTCAAACTACCAACTTTTTGGTTGGCAGCTGAGCGCTTTAACTACTGTGCTACCAGGGCTCCTCGGGAACAAGCAAAGCCACCCATTTTCCAATCTCAGTGTGTGGTACCACCAATTATTCATTAAATATGAAACCTAAGGAATTATCCTGAAATCCTCCATATTTTTGAATGCCACATTCACTCAGCCACGAAGTCCCATTGTTTCTGCATCCTTAATCTCAAATTGATTTACTTCTTTCCATTCCCTTCACAAAAAATCTCATCTAGGCCATCAGCCGTTGCCTTGACTGCTCTAACAGCATCCTACTTGGTCCCCCTGCCTTTAGTCTTCCAATTATATTACTGCAGATAAATATTTTTGCTACACAATTCAATTTGGCTTTTAAATTTTTTCAGGGGCCCCTCAAGATAAAATCTAAGCTTTTTAAGGAAGACCTACAACATGACCCTTGATTACTTTTCTAAGCTATGTTCTTGTCAGTTTCCATTCAAATCATACCATATTTACAGCTCCCTGAATGCACGTGCTATAATCTCCAGCCCTTTATACAAACTGCATCCTCTAAAGCTCTCACTTGTTCTACAAAATTTAGCTTGGATAGCATAGCTCCTCTTTATATGAGCCCCCCTCCCTTAAGCCACTACACCAGGGGTTGGCAAACCCCAGCCCATGGTGTTTTTGTATGGCCCATGAGCTAAGGATTGTTTTGACATTGGTAAAGGGTTGGTTAAAAATAAGGAGAAAGAATATTCAACAGAGACAATAGGTGGCTCACAAAGCCTAAAATATCTACTCTCAGGTCCTGTACAGAAGAAGCTTGCCAGCCTCTACACTAGACTTACATACTTCGTAAGAAAAGAAGCCGTGCCTTACTAGGGTTACTTCGAGATAGCATCATGCCTGGCACTAAAGTCTATCTTGGGAAATAATTAAGATACTCAGGCTTGAAAATGACAATTCTACCCAAAGCAATTTACAAATACAATGCAATCCTGATCCAAATACCAACAACATTCTTCAAAGAGATGGAAAAACTAATCATTAACTTTATATGGAAAGGGAAGAAGCCTTGAATAAGTAAAGCATTGTTGAAGAAGAATAAGGTAGGAGGACTTACACTACCTGACCTCAGAACTATGTTAATCAGAACAGCCTGGTACTGGTACAACGACAGATACATTGACCAGTGGAACAGAATCGAGAACCCAGATGTAAATCCATCCATGTACGGTCACCTGATCTTCGACAAGGGCCCAAAGTCCATCAAATGGGGAAAAGACAGTCTTTTTAACAAATGGTGCTGGCAAAACTGGATATCCATCTGCAAAAAAAATGAAACAGGACTCATACCTCACACCATATACAAAAACTAATTCAAAATGGATCAAAGACCTAAATATAAAGCCAAAAACTCTAAAGTTCATAGAAGAAAAAATGGGACCAACGCTACAGGCTCTAATACATGGTATTAACAGGATACAAACCATAACCATCAACACACAAACCCCAGAAGATAAGCTAGATAACTGGGATCTTCTAAAAATCAAACACCTATGCTCTTCAAAAGACTTTACCAAAAGAGTAAAAAGAGAACCTACAGACTGGGAAAGTATTTTTGGACAGTACAAGTCAAAGGTCTAATCTCCATAATCTATAAGCAAATCCAACACCTCTACAAGAAAAAGACAAATAATCCTATTAAAAAATGGGCAAAGGAAATGAACAGGCACTTCACCAAAGAAGACATTCAAATGGCCAACAGACACATGAGGAAACTGCTCACGATCACTAGCCATTAGAGAAATGCAAATTAAAACCACAATGAGATACCATCTCACCCCGGCATTACTGGCACAAATCAAAAACACTGGAAATAACAAATGTTGGAGAGGCTGCGGGGAGATCAGAACTCTTATGCACTGCTGGTGGGAATGCAAAAGGATACAACCATTTTGGAAAATGATATCGCGCTTCCTTAGAAAGCTAGAAATAGAAATAGCATACGATCCAGCAATCCCACTCCTAGGAATATATCCTAGAGAAATAAGAGCCGTCACACGAATGGACATATGCACACCCATGTTCATGGCAGCATTATTCATAATCGCAAAAAGATGGAAAGAACCTAGATGCCCATCAACAGATGAATGGATAAATTATGGGACATACACACAATGGAGTATTATGCAACAATTAAGAACAATGATGAATCTGTGAAGCATCTCATAACATGGATGAAACAGGAGGATATTATGCTGAGTGAAATAAGTCAGTCACAAAAGGACAAATATTGTATGAGACCACTATTGTAAAAACTCATGAAACAGTTTACACACAAAAAGTAACAATCTTTGTTGGTTATGAGGGAAATAACTAAGTAGACAAAAGTGGTAATTTTGGTGAAGGGTAAGACAGTACACAATAGCGGAGAAGCCAGCACCACTTGTCCAAGGCAAGGTCACAGAAGGTCCATAGACACATCCAAACTCCCTGAGGGACTGAATTGCTGGGCAGAGGGCTGTGGGGACCATGGTCTTGGGGAACATCTCGCCCAATTGGCATAACACAGTTTATAAAGACAATGTTCTACATTCTACCTTGGTGAGTAGCATCTGGGGTCTTAAAAGCCTATAAGCAGCCATCTAAGATAAGATACTCCACTGGTCTCACCCCTTTGGGAGCAAAGGAGAATGAAGAGACCAGGATACAAGGAAAAGTTTATTCCAAAGGATTAATGGACCACAGCTACCAAGGCCTCCACCAGAATGAGTCCAGTACAGCTAGATGGTGCCCGGCTACCACCACTGACTGCTCTGACCAAGATCACAACAGAGGGTTCTGGACAGAGCTGGAGGATTTAGAACAAAATTCTAACACACAAAAAAAGACCAGATTTACTGGCCTGACAGACTGGAGAAAACCCGAGAGTATGGCCCCTGGACATCCTTTTAGCTCAGTAGCAAAGTCAGTCCCGAGTTTCATCATTCAGCTGGGGATTGGACAGCCCCATAAAACAAAACAGGACTAATGAGGTACAGCAGTCCAGGGACAAGGACTAGAAGGCAGGAGGGGACAGGAAAGCTGGTGATAGGGAACCCAAGGTTGAGTAAGGACAGTGTTGACATGTAGTGGGGTTCTTAACCATTGTCATAGGGCAATATGTGTACTGTTTAATAAGAAACTATTTTGTTCTATAAATCTTCATCTAAAGTGAGAATAGCAGCACAACTGGAAGAACATAACGTCACTGAATTGTACATGTAGAAATTTTTGAAATGGTGTCTCTCTGGCTATGTATATTTTCATCAAAAAAAATAAAAAGTTCCTGCAAGGCCGAGAAGGGAGCGTGTTGACATGTCGTGGAGTTGTTAACCAATGTCATAAAACAGTATGTGTACTGACTGTTTAATGAGAAAATATTTGTTCTGTAAACCTTCACCTAAAGTACAATTAAAAAAAAAAAAGATACTGAGGCAAAGTTCTTTTAGAGAATTCAGATGACTAGTGAGTATCTTTTTCTTTGAAAAAGGACAGCCCAACAAATTAGACTTTGAGGATCAGGTTTTAATGAATTCAAACATAATGCACAGGTTCCCAGGGTGGACGTACATACATACCCCATTTTACAACTGCTTTTTGCTTTTCATCCTTTTGGACAAGGATGGGAGAATGTTTGAACTCTTTCTTCTTAGAAGCAAGAACTTTATAGGTCCTATGGTTTGTTTGCTTGTTTGTTTTTAAGAGCTGATCATCAAAATTTCTATGACTTCTTGCATTAAATTTTTTTTTGTATTTTCTTTCTATCCACCCACCACTAGCTGGTTGTTGCCTCCTAGATCCTGGGTTTTCTATAGTTAAGTGATCCTTTTAATTTCTGTATCAACACAGATTCTTTTTGTTGGTTTCTCTAAAATGGTATTTTCTTCCTCTAATATGTCAGCACAGTCCCTTTTGGCTTTTGTTTCTTCCTCATGGAATAAATGTGGGTTCTCGATACGTCCCCTACGTACAAAATGCTGGATCCGGGATTCCAATCCTTGGCACTTAGGACGATCCATCAGGGGCTTATATGTGCGCATTTTCACTCCTTCTACAAAAGCACTGGTCTGCTTTATGACAGGGGGCTTAACGTTTCTCCACTTTATCACTCCATCCATTTCTGGTCCTATAATTACACAATCAAGCATTACATGGATACTTTGTCACAAAAGAATCACCTCCAAACATTATATAAAACTACCGCCACCCGTAGCCCTATATAACTTTTGGTCCTGGTGAGTGAGTTTACCCTTGAACATCCCTGCCATACCTTTCCCACAGGGTACTGCCGCAGAGTCCAGTCCTTGCAGCATGCTATACAATATGTGAGTTTTAACGGCATGATTAGCCCATAGTTGTTGTAGGTGGGTAACATTGAATTCCTGAACCTCCCGATCATAAATCCACTTGATATTTTCAAACTTACAGTCATATAAGACTAGGGGAAATTCTACAGCCATACTAGAGAGACAGAAGAAAAAACAGATTATGAGACTACACAGCAACCATCCAACAGTTTTTTTAAAAACAGGGTTAGTTGAGCTAAAAAAAGGGGGTGGGGGGACTTGATGTCAATATCGAGTATCTAATAGCTAAGAAAATACAGCATTCTCCTTAATCTGAAATAGCTTTATAATAACTTAGAGAAGAAACAAAAAGGCAACATCATGGATCAACTGGTTAGGCTTGATCTATACTGGGGTAAATCTCAATGGTAACCAGTTACCTAGAAGTATTAACCTGGCCCTTCCATACTGCTGTAAAATTTGAAACAGCTAGTGGTATTTTTCCAAACTGTAAATAGAATTCCAATTTTGTTTAATATGGAGTAAAAACTAGATTTCACTGCTTAGGAATGAGTTATTGGTATCCATCTGACTTCAGCTTGCTCTCAAAAGAAAAATCTGACTGTACTTTCTGTCTTACCATTTCAGAAACTGGAAATTAGGAGAGTCCAATGTACAGTGGTAGTGACTACTACTCAGGAATACAAAATAAGATCTAATATGAATAGTTTGATGTTTCCTTTAAGTTCAGCAGAACCTAACAATAATACCTCTTATAAATTTAGAAACAGAAAATCATGTGGAAATGAATGTTCTTACACTTAAGGGCCTTGTCCAAATGCCTGTTTCCCTACTAATGGTATAGAACAATGAGAGAGGAAAATTAAAAGATTCCACTCTCCTCCAAATATTTGTAACCATTTACAAGTTAGATTAAAAGCTTCATGAAGGTAGAATCAGTGACTTGGTTATTTAGGCAGTCATGGGGGCAAGAAGGATATGTATATTGTATTAATGTTAGCCAAGTAAACAATAATTCTAAGGGCAATAGCTGTGGAGTTTTTCTTTTTGGGGGGGGGGAGAATTGGGTTTTGTTTTTGTTTTTAATATATTTACCTGTATTGAGGTTTCTGGGAATTTTTCTCTATGTTCAGCAGCTCATCAATAATCTCTGGTTTCTCCATTCCTTGGCCAATCAGAAAGAGGATAGCCATCATACAGCGGACTTGATGATAAAGGAATGCCTGGCCAGTCACTTCAAACTGACATAATTGGAAAGGTTCTTCCCATCTCTCGTCACCCAGGCTCTGGCCTACTAGCTGTACTTGAGCAGACAGAATAGTCCTCTGAAAATTTATCACTCCATTGGCTACATCCATTTTACACAAGTTCCGGAAATCATGTGTGCCAACATACTTCTGAGCTGCATAATTCATGATTACAATATCTAAGTCAGCACGAGGGAAAAAATAGCGGTACGTCCGCTCAAGACAGCTGAACCTAGCGCTGAAGGTAGGTTCTACAGGGGCCCAGGCCAGTATACGGATGTCTGGAGGGAGCACCCGATTGAGAATGTGGGTATAACGGATCTCTTTAGCAGAATCATTGACTTCGTCTTTTAAACTCAAATCTTCTGAATCCTTGTCCTTTGGAAAGTGAGAACGAAGGTCAAGAGATATCACCTGTGGAATTAGAGAAAGATACTCTGTTTTAGAGATACAGCTAATGTGAATCCTCAGGACATACACATCTAGAATGTCTTGGTATTACTTGCTTTACCTGTCCAAAGGCACTAACTCCTTTGTCTGTTCGCCCACACCGGTGATAATTGGATGTCTGTCTACTCTCCACTAGTCGAGTCTTGGTTAGCGCCTCAAACAGCTTCTCTTCAATGGTGTTGTTTGTATTTTCCTGACTGGCAAAACCCTGGTAGCCCCAGCCCAGATAGGCTATCCTCAGAGCTACATGTCTTCGACCATGAGCACTGAAATCAAATGCACGCTTAGCTTTTTTACTTCCTGAAGAATCTTCTTTTCTGCTTGAGTCCTTGTTGACCTGTTCCTTTTTAAGTCTTTGTACCTCCTCCTCCAGTTCTTGCACTCTTTTTAGGAGTTTCTCAGTCTGGTTTCTGTCTATGTCATTTTCAGCCATGATAGGACAACCTTAGGAATAAATCATACAGGTCCACCCTACCTGAAGAAAGAGCACAGGGATAAAATAACTTCAGGGCTCCTTGCTCTGATGATGTCAATATCATTCCATTATGCTCAAGTAGTACCTAGAGATTTAGTTGAATGCCCAAAGAATACAGACTTGCTTTTACCCAGGATAGAGCATTAGTTTAATTATTAAGGGTTAATTATCCATTTTGTATAATATTTCAGATATTATTGTTTTCCATCCTGTCTGGCCAATTCACGGGGGAAAAGAAAGAATGATCACAGATCATAGATCATTCTGCCATCTTTGTTAATGTTTAAGTAGTCAAATTTAGGGGAAATGTCTATAGATTTCATTATTCTTTATTAGCTGAGATGATTGAGGGCTGATTTTATTGATATTTTTTCCTAAAACATTTCCTCTTGGTTCCTCATATGTGTCCAATTGTCTAATCATGAGATCTCTTTATATGGAATATGTGTTTAATCTGAGGTTCTTTTGCTTTCAGTATTTCAGATAAAATAATAAGTGGCTTAGATGTTCTGTCATCTCATACTCAGTTCTTTTTTAAAGGTGGTACAATAGAAGCGAACTTAACAGAAGAAACTTATCAATGATTATACTTCACATTGGAAGTAGAGCCTGGAGACAAAACTGTCCCACTTTAAGCAGTTTTAATGGCAGAAAGAAGGTAATTATTGCTTCAATTGTATTTCTTTTTAAGCAAAATTTAATGCATATTCTGATAAAAGATTTCTGTACCTCTAACAATTACAGGAGACAGTCTGGATAATGTAATTTAGAGTTGGTGTTGAAATTCCTGGCATATTTCAATAATCTAAGATGGGGACAACTGTACTACATCCCTAAAATTAGGACAGTCTCAGCCAATCTATGGATATGGTTACTCGGTTACGGAAGATTATTTCCACGTCTGTTTAGATAATACGGTATCTGAGTCTAGGTAACTCATTTAGTGTTTTGCCCTTTAATTTTCTGTTTGAAAGTTTAAATGTTTTTTTTTTTAAAAAAAGAGAGAAACTATAAAAGTACTGGAAGAAAACATGGAATAATTTTTACTTCTTACCAAACCTCCCACCCAAAAGAATTATAAAGTCAGAAGGTAAATACTGGGAAGAAAAAAATTAATGATGGTAAAGGCTAACTTCCTTAACATATAAGTAAAAATATAAGCATTTAATTAATATATAAATCAGTTTTAACATAAAGAACAATAAGAAAAAATCCAAACAACACAAGTGGTAAATAGGCAAGGAAGAAGCATCTCACACAAAAAGGAAAAAAAAGAAAGCTTATAAATATATTTTAAAAATGCTCAAATTTACTCCAAGAAATGCAAATTTCTGAGAACTATTTTTCATGGAACTGACTGCAAAGATGAGAAAGTTTGATAGTACATCACTTTGTAGAGGAAATGGTGCAAATTCTCTAAAGTGCATTTTGGCAAGAGCTGTCAAAACATATTTTTTGACCATCCTATTCCTTTTCTAGAAATTGAACCTACAAATACGTAAAACTTTACTAGATACTCATTTTAACACTAGTTTTTAACAACTAAGCCCGCTGCCATGGAGTCGATCTTGACTTATAGCAACATAAGACTAAATTTCATCAGTAAGGGGCTGGCTGAATAAACTGTGGTGCATCCATACACTGGAATTCTGTGCAATTTAAACTAAAGAAGTATGTCTACATGTGCTGATGTAGCTGGATCACCAAAATTACCTTTAAGGTTCAGAAGAGTTGTATAATATGCTCCTGTATGGTATTTTTAAAAATGTTCATATGAACACGGAAAATTTCTGGAGAGATTCTGACTGCCTTTGAGGAGTCTTAAGAAGCCCTGGTGGTGCAGTGGTTAACAGCTCAGCTGCTAACCGAAAGGTCAGCTGTTTGAACCTACCAGCTGCTCCACGGGAGAAAGATGTGGCAAGATTATAGCCTTGGAAATCCTATAGGGCAGTTCTGCTCTGGCCTGTAGGGTCACTATGAGTCATAATCAACTCGATGGCAACAGGTAACGGGTCTGAGTCTTGGCAGGGGAGGGGAAATTAAAATTACCATGTGCGTATATTCATTTTTCAGTTTAAAAAGAAAAACAGTAGGGACACAAGGAAATAGTGGGCAACAGATACCAATCTTAGACCCAGTCAGGAAACTAGCATGGGGTATTTAGCGAGTTGATTTGGGACATACACAAGTATATACGTATATACCTGTATACATACTTACACAATACAAAACACAGTGTGTGAGTGAAATACTGCAGTTGTGATGGTTTTTAAATCCAGCCACTGTTACGGTTAAGAGCAGGGGCAGTGGTGGCTGGTTCAGTGGCAGACTTGCAGCCTTCCACGTGGGATACTCGAGTTTAATTCCTGGCCAGTATACCTCATGTGCAGCCACCTGTCTGCCCGTGGAGCGTGCGTGTTGCTGTGATGCTGAACAGGTTTCAGTGGAGCGTCCGGACCAAGACAGACTAGGAAGAAAGGTCTAGTGATCTACCTCTGAAAAATCAGCCAGTGAAAACCCTATGGATCACAATAGTCCAATCCCATTGTGCATGGGATTGCCATGAGTCGGGCTGATGGGATGGCAGCTAACAACAGCATGGTTAAGAGCAAAGACTGGGGAGTCAGACAGCCGAAGTTAGAATTCCAGCTCCACCACTTACTAGCTGTGTAATCCTGGGAAAATATTTCACCTCTCTGTGCCTCATGTTACTGATTTGGGAAAAGCAGATAGTAAGAGTACCTATCCCATGGCTGTAAGGATTACGTGAATTAATAAATGTCCATCACACAGAACAATGCCAGGTCCAGAAAAGTGCCCTCTAAGCACATGTTACATAATGTATCGTATGGATTATGACCCCTACCACGCAGTCCTGAGCTCCTCTTACGCCAGAACTCACCTCTCCCGTCCTAGGAGCTACTAAAGGTGGTGGCAAGAATGACGAGGCAGTAGAAAGTGGGAGTGGAAATGAAAGCAGGTACTAGATGCCCTAGAGCTGAGTGAGTGCCCCTCCAAAGCATTCCCTTCCTACCCTGTGCCAACCTGTTGTAGCACTGACTAGTGTTCGCCTCAGCCTTCCTTTCTCCATTGTTAGCTGTCGGCTAACAGACGGGAAGAGAAGGAGCAGTTTATGAGCTGGGAATGTATTCACAGGAAACTGACCAGTGTTTTCTCTTCCAGAAAGCCCTACTGTGTAGAGGAAGCAATGGAAGAACTCGTGGGACCTGATGGACAAAAATGGGCCAGTATGGATCCAGAAGAACGAATGTTAGCAGCTGCTACAGCTTTTACCCAGATCTGTGCAGGGCAGGGTGAGGGAGATGTCAGGAGAGAAGCCCCGTCTACCCGGTATGATCCCTACAGTAAAGCTTCGGTAACCGCAGGGAAGCGACCTGTGGCTCTTCCTCTGCAAGTGCAGTACCCGCATTTGGACTGTAATGTCACTTCAGAAACAGTCTCAGAGGCCTCCCAGAGACTCCAGAAGCCAGTGATGAAGAGAAAGGTGCTGCGTAGAAAGCCAGGTGGGGAAGTATTAGTGACAGATGAGTCGATTATCAGTGAGTCAGAATCTGGTACAGAAAGAGAGATGGATCTCTGGGACTTAAGACAAAGGCTGATGAATATGCAGTTCCAGGAAGACAGGGAATCCCCAGTTGAAATTTCACAAAAATTTAATCTACCACATGAATACCAAACACTTACTCAAGAAGATCAGCTTGTTTACTATCTACAAAGAGAAGGAATGGGCCCCCCAGCTGATGAACAAGACCTGATTGTTGCCAGCCGACCCAAGTCCTTTATTCTCCCAAGGCTGGACCAGTTAAGCCGAAACCGGGGCAAGATCGATCGGGTAGCCCGATATTTTGAGTACAAACGAGACTGGGACTCAATGCGGTTACCTGGTGAAGATCATCGGAAGGAATTACGCTGGGGTGTCCGAGAGCAGATGCTGTGTCGAGCAGAACCCCAACCCAAGCCTCAGCATGTATATGTTCCAAACAATTACCTAGTACCAACTGAGAAGAAAAGATCTGCCCTTCGTTGGGGTGTCCGCTGTGACCTTGCAAATGGTGTCATGCCCAGGAAGCAGCTCCCCTTCCCTCTTTCTCCTTCTTAAAGGCTTTTTACCTGTCCCTCTCCTGTCACAGGATTGTTGGGGAGAACCTGGTTCTTTACATCTCTTCCAAATAGAAACAGCTCACTTCAGAAATCGATGGACCACACAGAGTAGGGATTTCACCCCTTATTGGTCTTTCCTAGCTCGCTATCAAGTGGTTAGATGCCGTTTAACTTCCAACTCTCAGTTCCAGCAACCACAAGAGAAATCATGCCAGAGAAAGAAAACAGGCCTGGTCTTTCTGTTTTGTCAGACTAGTAAGTTGAGTCAGTAACACCATTTCTGCTCTTTAAAAACTTGTTACCTTTGGCCAGTGTGAGCAGCTGTGTTTTTATTAGTGTGTGTTTAAAGTTCTGGGTGTTAAGCTTATCCAATAAAGAATTTTGGAAATCTGTGAGCTTGACCTTATTTTTACTAAATACTTCCCAAAGTAAGAGAAGTAAGGATCTAGAACCTGGGCTGTTGTTCTGCTTCCATGTGTAGTGCCCATCTGTACTCACCACCTCAGAGATGAGGGCCAAAAGGAAGAAACAGAAACACGCCGTTTACTCACACAGTTGTAAGGAGAGAAGGGCAGCAGCACAGATAAATTATCCCGTTGCTGCAGGAGTACAGTGATTTCACAATATATTGCCTTTGGTTGTCACTTCCGGAATACCACGCTTTTTGTGATCTGCCACTGAGATTTGCTTAGGAATTATGTCTCTTGAAGACTATTTCTACTCTGCAATAGAATTTCAAACTACTAACATCTGGAATCAAATGCAGACATAAAAGTCCAGAATGAATTAAGCCTATTTGGGTACAGGCCAAACACTAATTGCGCTCACCTTAAATAGCAACTATCTGTTCTACATGTTTGTAATTCAGTGAGGAACATCTAAAATCTAGAAGTTACCAGTTTTAGCATTTGAAGGCAGAAGAGTGACAAGTAGTTTGCTTGCTCAAGGAAAGACAGCTATTTAACATAAATGAATCACCTTGATATGGACCATTACTATCTGCTAAAATACCTTTTTTTCCCATTATATGTAAAGCAACATAATTCACATTCATCCAGTTCCACTGCTAGGCATTTATCCGTATAAAGGAAGTAATCAGTGACTCAAATATATGTAGGATATGTTCATGGCAAATAAGTGAAAAATGAAAACAATGTCCAACAATACTGAGGTGGTTAAAGAGATTAAATCCAAAAAAAACCTGCGATGGAGTCAGTTCAGACTCCTAGCGACCCTATAGGACAGAGTAGAACTGCCCGATAAGAGTTGGTTCCAAGGCTGTAATTTTCATTGAAGCCGACTGCCACATCTTTCTCCCTCGGAATGGCTGGTGAGAGTTCAAATCGGTTAGCAGCCGGCGCTTAACCACTGTGCCACCAGGGCTAAGCAGTTAGCATAATTATGGAAGATACAAAAAAATGCAAATTCAGTGAAACACTGCAAACTTAATGATCTCGGTTATACACCCATGTGCACGTGCAAAGCACAAGGAAAGATCAAAGTTAACTCAGTAGCAGGGTGATGGGTTAATTTTTATATTACTAAAAAAATTTTTAAATTACATGGTATTTTTGCCTCACAGCAAAAAACAAAACAAAACAAAACAATGATTTACCTTTCTTAGCCTCTTACATAGATGTCAAATATTACCAGTATTACCAAATCAAAGTTTCTGAGGCGACCATCTAGTTCAACCCCTATTTAAAGAACTAGCGGGTAGAGGTTGGCCTGGTCATACAGCAGATTTGTGGCAAATACAGGATGTGAGCCCAAATCTCTTGAGTCAGTATGGTGTTTCTCCAGCATATCATACTCTCTCGGGATGACGTGCAGTGGTTCCCAAGCAGACATCTAACGTGACATCTGAGAGGGGGCCGCCGAATTACCAAAAAAAGGGAATTCATGTGTGTGCTAAACACTGGCTGTAAGTTAAAACTGCCACCGTCAAAGGTCATTGTATTTTTTGAAGTTAAAAAGAGTCTTAAAATGGGCAGCTCCTGTCCGGAGGTGAGATGAGAAGGCAGAGAGGGCCAGGAGCTGGTTGAATGGACACGGGAAATCGGGTGGAAAGGAGGCGTGTGCTGTCACAGTACAGGAAGAGCAACTACGGTCACGTAACAATGTGTATATACATTTCTGTATGAGAGACTAACTTGAATTGTAAACTTAAAATACAACAAAGTTGTTTTTTTTTTTAAAAAAATCTCGAAAACGTTAGGAAGCAGTGAAGTAGTGCAAAAGCATTCCTCATGATAAACTTTATTTTAAAGCAAAGGGGGTATCCAAAGGATCAAGGGGCCCAAGCTATTAGTACCCAAAAGCAATCGGTACTAGTGGCGTGTAGGGCAATTCCCAAAACAATCTGAAAACTGTCGCCATGCCTCCCTCCCATCCCACACGCTACCAGCATCCCGATCTCTACTAGTGTTTAGCTGTATGAGCACGCACAATTCTAACTGGGGCAGCAGTCCAGGGGCCCTCTAAATTCCTGTTACCGAATGATAAAGAAACCCCTACCGCTGCGAATTTCTGCAGGAGACCCAGAAAATACCGGGCACAGGAAAGCATAAGTGGTCTTAGTCGAGGTCCCACTTCCGTACACCAGTGCTTTCCTGAAACGATCGAGGAATGGGGAAGAGGGAAAGAAAGAAAGTTCAGCTGTTTGTTTACTCCTCTTTGCAGAACCCAGAAAGTTGAAAAAACCAAACCAAACAAAAATACCTTTTACCGGTCCTCAGCCACGCCGCTTTTCGCGAGACAGGAAGCTGTCGCCCAACGTTATCTTAGATAGGCCTCATGGGAGATGTAGTTCTAAGATGAAGTGCTTTGTGGGAGACGTAGTTCTAAGATAAAGTGCTTTGTGGGAGATGTAGTTCTAAGATAAAGTGCTTTATGGGAGATGTAGTTCTAAGATGAAGTGCTTTGTGGGAGATGTAGTTCTAAGATGAAGTGCTTTGTGGGAGATGTAGTTCTAAGATGAAGCGCTTTGTGGGAGATACAGTTCTAAGATGAAGCGCTTTGTGGGAAATGTACTTCTAAGGGCAGGAGCCCTTAAGTTCTAAGGCCTGACGTTTTCTGGTCCCGATAAGGCAGAATTTGGGGCTTGTGGTAGCACAAGAAGAAAAAATAGGAGAAATTTAGTGCTGCACTAAAATAAAAGAGGTAGTTTTTCAAATGTCTGCTATCCTTATACGAAGACTAAGAGACCAAAGATCTGGCCCGATTTTGTACCTAGTTAAATAGAAAGTTGCCAGTGAGAGACAACAACCGTTACGATTCGAATTAGATGTAGCGGCCAAAAACGAATATGATAGCCTCGAACAAACGATCGCGGTGCCTGAGAGTGACCCAACAGAGCTGGGGAGTGCGCTAGTTTCAACACCACGGAGAGATCACGACCGTGGGTTTTCGTTTGCGTGTTTTTTTGTATTTTTTCCCCAAGTCCACAGATGCTGACCCAAATCACAGAATGGCCGTTAGAAGACTGAAAAACTGGTGCTTTTGTCCAAATGTGCAGCCACTGGTACAGGGAACCTCTCCCGGCTTACGCAGATGCGGGGAGGAGGTAGAGAAAACAGTTCTCTGAGGACGGCGTTAGCGTGGAGCCACAGCTCAGAGTGAATATGAACATCAGCAGGTATGTGGGACCACGCCAGACATCTAGGAACAGAAACAGCAGTTAGAGTAAGATTCCCTTCCACAACTTGCGCACTCGAATCCAACCGTCAGGTCAAACTGACCCGGTTTGTTCCTCCACCTTCCTATGCAATTCTCCGACCTTTCTTACATTCTGTAACGTAGGGCGGACATTTCCGGGGAGACGCAGGCACCGGAGCTTGCAGCGGGGTGATGGGCCCTGCTTCGAGGCAGGAGAACTATTTGGGTAGTGGGGTGGGGTGGGGTGGGG